GATATGTGGTTACTTCTGGCAGAAATGCAAATCTCATATCTTGAGTAAAGTCTTAGAAAAATACACGAGATTTTTGTGGCAGTGAACTTTTCAGATCCTAGAGCGCCAATAATATGTACTTGAAGAGGTGTAATTCGATGGTCTAAGCCACACCATTGATGCCGACTGGGCTGAGTAAACTGGCCAAACCTTTCGTGTGATTATCGTTTATTTTTAAGTATTCTGACCTTACAGATTCTTTACATACAGCAAGCATTGTATTCATCAGCAAAGGGTATGGTCACCATTGTCCATAAATAACCGTATGCAGAAATTCAGTGTCTCGTCCACATATCCATGAGTGGTTGCAGAAACCTCCGTCAAATGAATGCAGTTCTGTGTTGCCAGTTTTGATAATTACACCCCATCTCAAACCATAACACAGTTTCCGTGAAAAAGAGATCTTGCGAGAAATGCAAATTGCAAGTTATTCCCTTCCAACCAGATAAAACATCTAGAACTGTTCAGGCTGCATCTAAAGTGGCTAGTAAACAATACCTGACCTCATTTCTCGTGACTCTGTTAACATGACGGCAATATAATCTTTGGAGGAGGCTACTTTGGAGAAGGCAATATAATCATTGGAAAGATAAAATGAATAGAACATAAACAGTTGGTTTTCTCGCATAAAGTAAAACCTCATGAGGCCTTCGTGTAGAAATCAGAAAAAGTTAATTCGAGCTTCTGTGGCAGTCGGAAGACATGTTGGGAAACTTCGTATTTCCACAACTAGAAGAGCTTCAGCCACATGTCTTTTTGCAACAAGATGGTGCACCACCTCATTGGGGTACATCGTTCGTAGTTCTTTGAATGACCATTTTACAGGAAGATGGATTGGCCGAGGAGGTCCAATTCCTTGGCCACACAGATTATCTGATATAACGCCGCTGGACTTTTTCGTTTGGCAATTTTCCTTTGGCGATTATCACTCAAACAATATCAACGTTTACAGGAGGAGAGTGTCGAACACTGATGACATAAAAGCCAGAATTACAACCGCAATAGCCTCTGTAGCTGCCGACATGCTTGCCGGTACCTGGCGTGAAATTGAATATCGACTTGATATTCTTTGTGCGACGAAGAGGGCACACGTGGAAGTTCATTGACAAAGGGCATGAAACTTTTTCATTCTATATAACCATTTATGATATTAATTTTAATCTATCTTTATTATTTTATGAGTTATTAAACATCAAAATGGGGCCGGGACTTTATAAACACCTTTTATTTCATGGGCTAACCTATGCTTAGAAGTCCAATATTTTTCTCAGTCCCGGATAATTAGGAAAAATAAATACATCAGAGTATACTGCTTAAGCATTTTAATCAGCTGATCATATGTTTTCAAATTATCCTTTGATTTTAATAAGTAATTTAATGTTTGCTTTTGTTTTGTATGACTAAATTAAATCTCAATTTTTTGTGAGTTTATGAGTTAGATTTATGTTTAAGTTTATAAGGTATTTTCTTCCTCCTGGAAGCATGCCTTCGTGGTGTTACGGTAGCAACCTCGGCGCGTATTCAAGAAGTCCAGGTTCGATTCCCGGGAAGAACATTGCTAATTTTTCACGTTTTCAATATCAAAATAACCTAATGACTCTACAGTGGTGCCTGAAAAAACGTGGTGGATGACGATTTTTCGCCACCAGGATCTGGCGACTGAGTCCCCTAATCCTCAGTCGCCCTTTAAAAGGAGAAGTATATTAGGTATTTTTCCCTCTTTGAAAGCAAACCTTCGTGGGGCAACTGTAACACATTCGACGCGTATTCCAGAGGTCCAGGTTCGAGTCCCAACGAAGACATTTCTCATTTATCATGTTTCTTGCTTCAAAATAACCTAATGACTCTACAAGTTTTTACCTGAAATTTAAAATTTATCTAAAGAGAATTCAGAACTTTTAGTGGTAAGATATATCTAAAGCCCTTGTAAACTTTAAAGAAATGCGAAGAATATTTTGTTACAAAACATAAATCATTGAAGTTTGTTTGTAATATTACCCATACTTAATAATAGTTTACTAATTAAGGCGAAATTACTGATTCTATGGAATCTCTACACCGTGAAGATTATCACCGAAAGATATATTAAAATACAAGAGAGATAAAAATAGTATCTCAAAGTTGTTTCTTAATCATTAAGGATGCAATGTGATCAGTTTTCAGGGAGACTGTGTCGGTTCAGATATGTGAAAAATAATTAAAATCTGAAAGCTGGCAAATTTTGCCTCTATAGTTAATTAGCAGTATCCGTTTCCCTTCAGAATATTAAATTTGGTTTCATAGCATTACCGCTTTTAATAGTTTATTTCAGCATTTAAGGCAATTTATTTTTTAATATAGTTTTCTAAATTCATATAAATCACTCCGCGATTATAAAGGCGCATCATTTGTTAATTATTTCGAGTTTCCGAAGCGAATGCCACGTGCGCATAATTAAAGTTCTCTTTTAAAAGTATTTCATTTTTCTTTATCGTTACCTCAAAGATTCTTTATATAAATTCTCATTTTAAAGGTATATTATGAGTGCGACTGCGAAGTTTAACTTTATTTATCCACATAACAGGAATTTATACATTTCCTATATTATTCATTCAACTTTGTAATTTATATTAGAAAGTAAAAAACGAATTCATGATTAAGTATATAACTCGGGAGAGAAAATGTTGATTTTCAATGTTGCAGCAGTAAATAAAATATATAAACTGGAAAAATTTTAAAGTCTTGTATTTCACCCAAACAATATAAACAGCTATGAAATGCCTCTCAGAAACTTCTTACAAATATGTAACGGTGTAGGGCGGCAAATAAATTTGGCCGTTTTTTAGAAAATCAAAAAATGACTTATCCGAGTAAGGTTTCCACATAAAGATTATCCCTAAAACGAAAAATAAAAGGATTTTAATTCAATTTTTACCGGCAGTTCGCTTTCTTAATATCACACTGTAAAAGTAAGAATGAAAGAATTTAAATTGTATATGACATTAGTACCCTTATATTATTAAAGCAATTATTCCTAATAACATAGCAGTTCTCACTTGCGCATCCTGTTTTAAATAGCTTAAATAGCTTTCGGATATATTAACGATAGTTATCTAGCGAAATTTTGAGCTAACACTTATAAAGAGGGAAGAACTGATAGTGTGATTACCTAACCCTTCAAGAGCAAATCACACTTTAATGCACCAAACTATTGCTTTTATATGGTTCTTTAAAGAAAATATGTGCAAAATACTAGACAATTTTTCGGCTGTCTGAGGGTTTTTTTGATAACTCCGTTGTTCTTGATAACCTTTAAAAATAAAAAGCAATTCGTGTTTACCATAGTTAGGACCAAATAGAAGCTAAATGATAAAAGACGAAGTTTGATTTTTTAAAAAGCTGAATAGAAATCCATATACGCTAAATAAACTAAATTGATCTAGATTGAGGTTTTGTTTTATTTTAAAATGGATTTAATGAAATACGGCGTTTGATATCAGTTCCAATGTTACACAAATATATTGCAATCATTGCCGCCTAAGAGAGGAATTGGCTAGTGACTCTGACTACCTTACCGGTGTCCACCGAAACCATCGTGGCAAAAACATCGTGGACGAAAACGACGTGAGGCAAAAATGTCGTGGAACAAAATATCGTGGGAGAAAAGAAAGCAAAGAGAAAACATCCCAGTTCTAAAACATCATGGTACAAAATATAATGGTAAAAAAAGCGCTTAAAAAAATTTCGCGGTTTCAAAACATAGTCGTTGAAAATATCGCTGTAAAAAATAAAATACCTACAAATCATCGCATGACGATAACATCGCACACATGGGTTTTCAGGATTTAAAAGTTGTAAATGCATGTTCGCGTAATGATTTGGGAACGCACGAGGGAAACAAGGATTCCTTTACATCACATCTATATTTCATACTTATGAAAGAACTACTAAATTTTTGCTGACAAAGTAAGAAGGAAACTTAAGCATTAAAAAATTGAAAATGGGTAGAAATTTAATGCAACTTATAGAACTTAATAATAGAATTTTAAATTTACATAGTTAATTAACAAAGGTCATTAATAAATTAATAATTTTTATAAAGTTTTACTGATACGTTTTTATGCAAAATACAATTTAAAAATGCTTAAAAAAAGGAAGATAAGCAACTGCATGAGGTCACTTCTATAAAAGTTGCTTAGTTAATTATCAAATAATTTTTTTTGACATTTGCTAATCTGATAATGTTTTAGTGAAAATTATATTTTGTTTTGTTTGAGTTTAAAGTGTTGTTAACGTTTTCATGTATACATTTTTAGATGTCGATTTGTTTGTTATGACGAAAGTCAATTGCATAATATGTCAGTATAAGATTTGGAAAACGCTTTCTTTTCTCCCACGATGTTTTGTACCACGACGTTTTCGCCTTACGTTGTTTTTTTCCGCTAAATTTTCCTCCGCGAAGAGCCCGGGCAAGAATCCCGGAGAAGGTATGGATGCTTGTAAATGTAAAGTGTCTGTGTTGCATGAGGCAGTCTAGCGGTGAGCCGAAGGTCCTCTCGAGATGTTGGCAGCTGTATGGTGCATTTTGTATGGTGCCTTTGATTTGTTTTAGTTATTTATTTCTTGATAAATTAGAAGAAAAATATTTTCTTTCTTAAATGTGAACACTGCTGAAGATGAGAATCCGAGAAAAAAATTTAGACAAACGTGAATGTTCATACCTGTAAGTAATTTGATGCGAAATTCTCTTTCTCAAGGATTAAAATTATTCTTCATCTATTTCATAAATAATTTGCACTTGCAATAAAACAATATGTACAGAACATATCTGTAACAAATGTTTCCAACGTTCACGTTACGGTTAAGGTAATTGTGCAGGCAAGCCTCCACATTTATTCAGCGTCAGGTGTACTAGCTGCGACCGCCGAGTGACAAGGCGAAATTGACAGCTACAACCGTTTCTCCTTCTTCTGCTGCTGGGGTCCGAATGTGTAGGACGGCTCTGGCTGTCCTCAACCCGGCTGATGCGTGTGCCATTTTTTCTTCTTTCTTCTCTTTTTTGACTGCCATCTCCGTTGCTGGATGTACAGCCATGGTATTCCTTCTAGTAAAGAAATTGGAATTGAAGATTCAACTAAATAGATCCATATACCTAACACCTGCCGAAAATTAATGATGTTCTACAACTTGAAAACTTCGAGAAGTCTTCGTGTGCACGTGTCTTCGTGTTCATCTTTCCTGATGATTTAAGAATTCGCCTTGTTCCTTTTCGAAAAATATATTGGTATAGCGAGCTAACTCAATTCCTGCCGTTAAATTTTGACTGTTGTTTTTCACCGAGACTTTGTTTTACGTTGATGGAATGAGATCTACTTTGATTGGAATGCAACTCGTAAGAGAAGTTCCGATTCAAAATTGTAGGACTGATATTCGTCTGTCTGGATAATTGCTTAAATTATGCTAATACTTATTCAAAATTTAATGGTGTGAAAGATATAAGAAATATTAATTGATTTGTGTTATTTGAATTGTCATCCTTTGGGGTAAGTCATTTTAATTTAAAATTTTAGATCACACATTTTCATCTGCACATTTTCAAGTATTATGGGTTATTGCGGTCACATTTGGCCTCGTAAACTATTTTATCATTACAATTTGGATATTATCACATTTGGCACATTTTTTTCTAACAGTAACGAATTTTTAAACATTCATTTTTCGGTTACGGTCAATCTGAGTTTCAAATGTTGCCTAACTTAAGAAGAACGACGTTGATTTCAAGCAAAGTGTTAGGTACAATTAATTTTTCTTTTATTATAAAGTATGGTTATACTAAATTGTTTTATGTACTTCTGTTTTGATAGAAAATTTTTAATGTTTACTTTTCTATGTACAAAATAACTTCAAGCGACATACAAATTCTACAATGAAATTTTAAAAAGGTAATTTTTCGGGAAAAAGGAAACTAAGTAAACGAAGGCAGAGCAGTTTACTTTGTTGCAGTGCTGGGCTTATGAAAAATGTAAAAGACTAAGAAATTCTTTAAACTACCTTGCACATCGCAAAGCGAGTATTTTTATAAATTCTAACTCACAAAAATGTGAAAGGCGTTGCATTGAAAAAAAGAGAGTCCAGATTTTTTCTGATGCGTTTACAGATGGTGGATGGTCACCTTTAAATAATTAAGTAATCTTTTTAATTTTTTTAGAAGTAATCTCTACTTAGAACATAATTGATAATGGCTCTTTTATAAAAAATGAATTTAAAAAAAATAAAATAGGTATTTATTTTTAAAATTACAGAAATGCAGCATTGCATTTTGTTTTTACGCTTTATGTAAGATGCTTTTTAGTTTTATTAATAAACAGCATAAGTAATAAAATATACAAGGGATACATAAAGTAAATTCAATATCTGTGATAACAAATAGAACGAATTAATAAAAAGCTATTATTTATGGCAACAAACGAGTGATTAAATAATATTAGAGGGATTTTTACCTTATATAAAATTGGGAGGGGGGGAATCTGCAACGATATATTTTCCTAAATTCGGGGGGGGGATGAGCGGGAGGAAGAAAGAAAAGGCTTAATATATGTTTTGAAAAAAAAAAAAAAATAACACTTTCATTAATAGAAACACCAAGCTGAAGCCAATTTTTGTGATATATAAAAGGATGTTTCAAGTACATGTTGTTTATTTTGAAGGGTATCCTTTATTTTGCGAAAGGATATAATTTACTACTAAATCAACTTCGCATCGAATTTTAATATAATGAAATCCTCTTTTTGTAGTAATTTCAAAGGCAATTATCTCCAGCGCATTTATGGGAATTACAGGATACCTTCTCATTCAGAGAAAAAATAATCTCACTTCGATTTTCAGATACAATTTGAAATTCTAAACTCTTCTATACATAAGATATTGCTTGCAATACGTAGGCTAGATTTCATCACTTCGAGCATGCTAAGCATATTTTGATTTATAGTGTTGATCTTGAAATGTGCCGAAACTTTACTGTTCGCCAAAATATTCACACTGTGATCGCCAATAATCACAAATTACATGAAATTCGAAATTTTCAGACTCTAACTAAACAATTTTAATTTTCTTCTTTCGTAAATGTAATAGCTCAATCAAATATTTAAGTATTAAATAAATGCTCAAACAACTGATTTTTATTAACTTGAAAGATTTTATTCTGTGATAGGTATATTAACCGATCTATAGGTTGTAATTATTCTTTTTTTTAATCACTTAACATTTGTTTAACTAGTGAGAGTTAATTGTTAGTGTGACTAATGATTTAGAGCTTTCGTAATTATGTATCTAACCGTAAATAACGTCTAGTACGAGTAGCAGTGGTACACAGTTCTTGAAGAAATATAATGCAAAATAAAAACTTTTACAGATAATTAGAGAATCAGCGTATTGTACAGTGGATTGTCCAGCATTTATTTTCGTTTAATTTGCTTTCACTTCTCTTAATAAAAATAAAATGCATAAAATACAGTTCTCTTTAGACGCATAACACAAAATGTACTCAAAAATGCATCATTTAAGAAAGCTGAATTGCAGAATCATCATTTGGTGCAATGCAAATTAAAACATTTGAGTTTTATGATTTGATTATTTGATTTACATAACATTTAATTTATATTAGCAACTTTTACTGTCACTTCTCGCCTTCCGTTTTTCAGCCAGAATGTGAATTAGTTCGAGTATATGAAAGTGAGTGTTTGAGATTGTTAAGGCACAGCGTGTTTTGCCGCATGAAGGCCACATTGCTAGTTTTGCTATTTTAGATTAGAGTTTCTGTCTTCAGCGTTGCTATTTGCCGATAGTTAAATTCACGCCGGTGAATACCGAGACAACTCTGAGTTTAAATAATTCTGTGAAGCCGTTTGGTATTAGTTATTTAAATTTAGTTCTACATTATTAATTTTCTACTTTGAATTTCTCGCCAAGGGTTTTGGCGACTTTTGTAAGCGCCAAGAGTGTCTTCTGTTCAACTTATTGCGTTTAAAATAAAACTTTCGCACACTTCTCAAATTTCTATACTTTAATTTTTGACATAGCGAGTCTATCAAAAGTTTAAGTTGTAGAGACGTTAGGATGTTTGATGCTGAGAGACGTGCAGAAATGAACCGATGACAAGAGAAATGAGCAATGTCCTCGCCGAGACTCGAACCTCGGACCACTCAAATACGCCCCGAGTGTGCTGGCCGGTATACCACAAAGGCATGCTAAGAATGCGCAAGAAATACATTATAAAGTCACATTTTACAGTAGTGAAAGACGTTAAACTTTATAAACTTAAATAATAAAAATAAATATCAGGTAAAAAAAAAAAAAAATCAATGGACAGACCTAAGACTAATACTCCACTCTCTTTAAATGCAGAATATTTTCATTATATAGTAAGTTATTCTGAAAAAGGAACGATGCTTAGAAATCTAATTACGGCGAGTTCACGTTAATAACGCACTGGTGGAAAAAGGTCTTTCGACATAAAATAAAGCGCACATTGTGTAGTACAAGTACTGATTATTATTTTTAAACAAACTGGTTTATATGTAATAGTGTAATGTTAATATAAATATTTTACTTTAAACTATATATTATCGTAAAATGCGCATTTCAAGAATTCGTTTATTAATCTTTATTTAGGGAACTTCTAGTATTATTACATAAACAAGGTACCGTTGAAAAGTTCCATTTTGAAGAATATCATTTGTCCTTTTATTTGATGATGCATGCATATGTGAATATTAATCTATAAATGAAAAAGGAATTGATTTGGGATATATGATAGTTATATAGTAACAATATTAATTATAACGATATTATTTCATATATTATTTATTAAAAACACCTAAACCAATAAATAATTACAAGATTTAGAATTCATATTCAAGCAATGATGCGATGAAAACGCTAAAAGTCATGGAACAGTTATAAGTTTTCGGAGATTTATTTAAATAACAGTTATTTTTTTAGTTTAAAGCAGCTTTCCTTTAAGTCTCGTTTTCATCCACGCTTTCTTGCCAGAATGTTAAGCTAGCCCGCATATGTTCAAATCAGGTAGAAAGAAGTGATATTTACGGAAAGGTGATTTTAGAGAGCGTTTTATATCTGCTTGAAGGCCACGTTGTTATTTTGTATTACCAGCGATTAGATTTCTCTGGCTTTGAATGCTTCTAGCTACGAGTATTAACGTAAAAGCTCGTTCGTCAGCTACGTTTCGAGCGTACTCGTACCTTGAGACTTGTTTATGCCGACGTCTGCAAGTCTTCCTGCGCGTTAAATTATCTTATGAGCCGACGGGCTAAACATACATTTAAGTTTACATTCTGTTTTGAACTATGCCAGAAGTATTGGCTTTGTTTACGCCGAAGTGGGTCCATCTGTGAAATTATAATGAGTGAATAAATGGTTCTTTACACTCTTCTTTTGACTTCTTGTCGTCAATAAGACCCGAGAATAATTCCTCATACAGTCTTTTCGAGCTCGTAGCTTATGCTATTCAAGAGTACGAAAGAGTTTTTCATTTTGAATGACATTAACTTATCAACGATTTTTCTCAGAAGGTCTTCCTTCAGCTGCATTTTAAGGACGATGTAATAAATTTCATCTTTTCATCCGTGTTACGTGCGACATCAACAGAACTCCTAAATGCATTGCAAAGTTGATACTTCCATTCTAAATCAGCTTCAGGTTTAGAGAATCTTCAGTTTGGTTGATTTACGTTACCATAGCTTTCAAACCAGTTAAAACTGTCCACGAATTCTTGAAGTTTAAAAAGTGGATGTAGTACAGAAGTTTAATGCGGAATCTAATTTACTGTAAAAAGATTACAGGCCGCAACATCTTTAATTAACAAGAAGTAGGAGATACTGAGATTCACAGGTGAAGTTTGAAATAATGAGGACACAAGATATAAATTATGATAAAGTAAAGGGGCAAGAGCTAGAAGCAACAAAATAAAAGAATAAATAGATAAAAATTGAAAAGAGATAAATAAATCAAGTAAACGAAAGTTAAAGTTCAGCTATTCGCTGAATCCGATTACTTTAAAATGCACGATAAAGTGCTCAATTCGCAATTCCAGCTACACGTTAACAAGACTTTTCTCATGTTAAAGTTACACATTTAGGAAAACTGGAGTTCTATGAGAAATTTTCATCCATGAGTTAGTAGATCTTTATTTATTGCTTTTATAAGACACAGATAAAATGTCTTAATGTTAAAGGAAAATTATTTACATAAAAGCATTGTTTTTCTAGGAAAACGATTTTACATTGATTCACTTAATACGTCGTCCACAGTAAATGTGTTGTTTCACTTTTCATTCATTGTCATGTTGTCATTCGGCAAAATGCAAGATATTTTTTATTCAAATTTAATCTGCCTGTTAATGATATACAGACTAAAAAGCAACAGATGTGGTTCTTAATAACGTTATATTTTAAAAAATGTATTTATTTTGTGATACATCTAATTAAAAACGCTAAACGTTTTTTTGTAAAATTACGATATCTACTTTTTCACGTTAAAAACATACAGAATGTATACAACGTACCCATGTCAGACTAAATGTATGCTATAAAATCTGGTATCCTATAAAATATTTCACCTCGGCTATCTGTTTTGATAATTTCTAATGATAAACTGCATTATATCTTAATAGATCCCGCTTGGGCGATTAAAACTTAACATTTTTAGATTTTATAAACTAATTTTGAATGTTTTAATTCAGTTTTTTCTGTGCACATTTTAGGTATTCTAAGAAATTAAGTTTGATCGGGATATTAAAAAGCATTTTATGACATAAAAAATAGGAATGTTCATGATTTCTCATTTGGCTTACTGAAATAATTTAATTCTTTATTTTTGTTGCAATTAAAATCCTGGAAAATTATTCTTATAAAAATGTTTACACTGTCATTGCACTTCATTGCTCAGATGTCTATACAAAATGGAAAAATAATATCAAATACAAATATGCGCTTTACTTATATTCAGTGTTGACTCAGATACATATCTCTTTTAAATTCGCACTACAAGCAACATTTTACGCAATTTATGCAACTATGCGAGATATTTTGCGAAAGATTTAAATTTATGTGACGCTAATCATAGTACATGGAAAAGCAGAATTTAGGACCATAAACATAATTATCTCCATTCCTTTAGCTTTATGAAATTATGAGGAAATAGGGTAGAGCGCTTTGTTAAAGGAACTACTTCCTTCCACGGTAAGTCGTAAAGGTCAATTAACAGTTTGCTCTTTGGGCTGCGAATGGATCGCTCAGCTCTACCGCTTTGTTAACTACATGGCTCTAACACCTTAATTTAATCACAGCTAATCCTAACTTTAACAGAAGTAACATAGCATTAGCAAAATAAAAAAAATGACGGGAACAAAAGAATATTACCTTAAATGTTAAATTTACCCCATTACACGAATACTTTAAGAGTTAACTTTTTACCTTGAATATATATTTTTTTCCTAAGCAGCAATAATAATGAAAACCAAAGTGGCTATTTCGTGGAATGAATTCCAGAAAGAAGGGCACTCGTATTTAATTATGCAAGAGTTACTCGTTCTAATTGTCTCAGTTAGTGTGAATGAAACATGGTGGTAATTCGCTTCTGCACTTCTTAACTTCGAAACATAGATGTTTTCAACAGTGATTCGTAAATTAGTTTCCAGAATCGGTCCAAATTATGCACTATAGCTTGTAAAGTAGCTTGAATGGCAAAGTGCCTCAATTTAGAAATGAGAATAAATAAAATGATTATTTGGATATAACTATTTTATTCTCACCCACTTCTAAATGGATTGGTTTCTAATTTGTTGAACTTTATGTATTTATTGAATGTGTTGATTTTACTACATCTGGAAGATTTATTTATAACCAAATTTAGAAATACAAGAACCCCTGTAGCTAAAAGTAAAATGATCCAGTTTTGACCCATTTGCTAAATTATACATTTTTGTAGATCTATGCTCTCCATTTCGTTGCTTTTCAAGGGAACACATGAAGCGACCCTAAGCAGCATTTAATTGTATTTATCTGTCATGCAAAATCGTGAGGACCAGTGGAGTTCCGTTATTAGACGTGAGGTACTAGGCTACCTCCCTAACATTTTACCGATTAACACTTTCGTGTACACTTTTCATAACATTCAAAATCATTAAAAGAAGTATCGTTTTACCTTTTTTTAAGAGTCTGGTTTTCGTACGAATAGGAGGAGCTTGGTGTTAGTGTTTGGTGTACTTAATTATGGCAAAGCACATAGGGCTATCTGCCTAAGAGGAGGGATGTCTTCGTGGAGGACTTTCTAAGGGAAACTGGCTCGTATACACGTTACACATGGGGAAAACCACGAAAACGCCCATGCAGCCAGCCCGTTCGCGGGATTCGAACCTCGTACCGAACTACCAGTGCTCAGCGACTTTACCGCTCGGTCGCGGGTGGGCCTAGGAGGAGCTTGTGTTCTGTCGGCTGTACGCGAGGAATGACTAGTTCCCTTTCACATATTCCCATAGCTCCGTAGACGTGCTGGAGGTAACTCATATGAAATTTAAATTTTCTTATAAATTTTATAATAAAAATTACCTTTTATTAAAAATCTTCTTCATAAAAGTGTTCTTATATACGTTAAAGAAATTGAAGAAAATGTATTGCTGCGTTAAATCCACGTTTACGTGATAAAGAGGGAATCGGTAACAAAAGCTGGTTCTCACATACAGATCATTAACCAATTGCCAGCGTTCACAACAATATTTTCTTGAAAAAAAAAAAAAATATGTGATAAAAGTTAGCGCTATATCACATATTCTCATTACCACAAGTATGAAACATAACACCCGTTATTAAAAAAAATGATGTTATGCACGATTTCTTGATTAACGATATACGAACTAAAAATTAAACTGTTTTGCTTGCGTTGTGCTCTTTCTGAATTGAAATGTTTTTATCTAACTATTTATTTTTATGACAGCCATCAGATTAAAAAAATAATAATACACCACATGACTTCCTTGTATGGAATATTAAATTATACGCATTTTTTCTTTCATTTCATTTAAAATTATTGAATTGAATTAAATTTACTTTGTAGATAGCCCATAAACCACAAGAGAATAAATGCACTCTTTAAAATTCACAATATTTGTTTACCATAGCGACACTCTGGCCCTAGGTTCACTTAACAGCGTTACATTTCATTCATTTTATAACTGAGAATGCACAAACTTCACATCATCTGAAGAATTATCTAATCATTGCCCCATATTCTATTCAAATACTATAATAAATCTAAAACTATGTATAAAAGAAATTTTTAAAAAGGAAGAAAGAGAGAGTTTTTCACACACAATTTAGTATTGCTTATTCAATTAATTCAGTTTTCACTTCTCGACAACGCAAAAATACATAAAAACTGAAAATATCTGCATTGAAAATTATGAAACACTCAATTCCTCGAATAAATTTCCGAATGGATTAAGTATGATTTAAGTCGCAATAATAAAAGAAGGCGTTATCTTTGTCATTGCGAAGCTTAGTTTCTCTAGATTGGCAACAAATCACTATTCTGCTGTAACAAATGTAAACAAACATGGCCGCCGTGGAAAAAATAATTAGGCTTAGCGGCACTTAAACAAATTTAAGTTGTTGATAATTCTAATAATATTGCTTGCAGATTTATTAAAGGCATAAAAACCTTAACAGGAAGATAAAAACAACGTAATTCAATCATTTTAAAGCAAAAAAAAAAAAAAAAAAAAAAAAAAAAAATGCACAATTTACAAACATATAAGAATAAAAAAACTGATATTACTGAGCCAAGTAACAAAGTGGATATATATATACATATAATATATATATACATATATATATACATGCATATATTTATATACGTTTGGTTCGGTCGATTGCAACCAAAATACCAGGTGCACATCTGCATGTTATAGCAATCGTATATATAGAACTTCAACGTTCTAGGGCTACTCGTTTTTGAGTTATGCGAGACACGTACACCCACAGATGCTACGAAAAGTACTCTTCAGAACTCATTTTAAAGCAGATTTACAATTTTTTGCTGGGAAAAGTGTCCTTTATTCTGTCCTTACGTACGGATGTCCCGCAAAAGCATCGTTAAATTGCATTCGATAGCGGTCAAAATGGATATTTTCGTTGAAATATAATACTTGAAATTTCTACCGATTACAATTCTTCCTTTTTACCTCGCACAAGGAAGTAAAAAGGATATTGTGGTACGATCTCTTTGACTTCCTCTCTTCATCATATTTTCAGAAATTTGTCAAAGAACGTTAACAAATATTGTACTCATAAGGCTTCAAATTATATAATTAATTTTTAATTTTCTTATTCAATATACAATAAACTCTGCCTTGATGACCACTTCTGAAAGTGGCATGCAATTCTGAGAACATAATAAAATACTAGCACATAATTTCTAAAGATGACCACCATCACTGTCCATATTTAAATAATTATAATTGTTCTTACTAAATCTTTTACATATATACTTGGGCCCACCAGCGGCCGCGCGGTAAAGTCGCTGAACACTGGTAGTTCGGGTCCGAGGCTCGAATCCCGCGAACGGGCTGGCTGCATGGGTGTTTTCGTGATTTTCCCCATGTGTAACGTGTATACGAACCAGTTTCCCTTAGAAAGTCCTCCACGAAGACATCCCTTCCCTTAGGCAATTAGCCCTAGCGTGCTTTGCCATAATTAAATACACACCACACCATATATACTTGGTGTCATATCTGATTAGAAATTAAAAATCTTACAGCACTTTCTATTACTTATAAGATTTAAAATTAACCGTGCAATGAAAGCCCCGCTGAAGGTTTAATTTTCGCCGAAATTAGAATGCCGGGGGACGAGCAGCCCAGGAGTCTGCCCGAGGGAAATTGCAGAATGGCGGAGTTCCAGGCCGCCGCCTCGGGGTCAGCCTTTTGCTAATAGTCTCTTATTTTGTTCTTTTGTTTTACAGATTTTCCTTCCCTGCAATGTATCCTACAACTGCAGTATGAAAAATGTGATTGTAAAGGAATCCAGTGAACAATTCGGAGCTCCCATAATTGTAGAATGTTAAATCATTATACGGTATGTGCCTGTTTATTTTGATATTTCAGCCAAAAATGTTAACGTTGATGACAGCCACTGCCCAAATGAAACAAATTGTAACTGTAAACCTTTAATGTCTTCAATAAAGGTTAGTTTAATTTTACTTATTGTATTTGTATTCTAATTAATTTTAATTAATTTTACACTGGAACTTAGTCATAGTATGGGTTACCTGCAATTTTTTCCCCCACAATGCAATCTATATTGTCTGATTATAATGATGTATGTTCATCTTGATTACTCTTGCTAGAAAATGTTTACTTATGTTGCACAAATTTGCACAATTACCTACTACAGTATGGGTATTAAAATGAATTTTCAATTGCACAGTAATGATATTTAGTAGTAATTATTGCATATGATCTTATGTTATATTGTTCTATACTTAATATAGAAAAATTGTTTGCTTTCAATGAAATACAAGCAAGGAAGCAAGCGTCCGCATGAGGCAAACAATGCACATGCACTGTATACCTCCATTTGTATTTTCATTTTTCGGCTGGAAGCAGGCAGCTATAACGCTGTAGGTTACATGCTTACATTGTATTCACTGCATTTGACTGCAGTGTAATAACTTCAGTTATCGCGCAGTTCTTTTTATTTCTCTCCAATTTTATACTTTTTGATATTTTTAAACCATTTTTAATTATCTTGTAGAGTCATTAGGTCCTCCAGAAGCAGGAGACGAGAAGAATATGCTATGCCCACGCATAGCATGGTGGAAAGGAAGGAGAAAATACCGCCTTTTTAAAGGGCTACTGGAGATTTGGGGATCCAGTCGCCAAATCCTGGTGGTGACGAATTATTGTTCACCACCTTTGAGTTTGGGCGTCACTATACAGAATTTCGTTGCAAGGGTTATTTTTAATTTTGAAACTCTTTAAAGTCTTGTTTTCCACTTACAATTCCATACCACAATGAGGTTTTAGGAGCGCGTTACATGTAAACGAGGTAGAAAGAGTATATTAAGAAAGTTTCGCTTACTTCCAAGAGAAGAGCTTCGGCGTCCTTATTGCGGTCAGCGCTTTGTTAAGCTCACAGCGCTTGGCCGTACAGTATGTGCCTGGTGATGTTCTTCCGCTAATTTGATTAAGGAATAACTAAATTAGGTAACTGTATATAGCTTCGGCTAAGTCAGTTTAGTTTAGAATTAGATATCTTATTTTCTTATCTTGAGTTTAAAGTCCAAGTGGAGGCTTTTCTGTAAGCCCGAGAAGGGGCCGACTGTCATTATTTCTTTGAGTGAATAAGAGAGTATTTTAACCCTTCACGGGACTTTCTCTTCTCTGTCAATTACACACTTAGTGATAATTCGCTACAATGTTATTCAATAAGTTCCACTACCTTTAGCGTAGACAAAGTAGTCAGGAACATTACAATGTTTTTGATGCTGGAGTCGTGAAAAATGTGCAATGACTTCGCCAGGACTCGAACGTGGAGCTCTCGAATGCGAGCCAAGTATCTTACCGTTACATCACGAAGGCGTGCTAGACGAATGGAGAAAATACCTTATAAACTAAAAACAGTCTAGTGTTGAACAGTGAAACAGTCTAGTGTCCTTTACCAGATATTTTAAACTGACCGAATTCAAAACGTTTTACCTAAAAATAATTTTTCTGTTATTTATTACTGATGTCAGGAACGTGATTTTATTTCGTTGCCGTACAATGAAGATGACAAAGAAGGCAGACCTTTTGCCATCATATGTATATATATATATATATATATATATATATAATTTATTTCTTAAACTATATTGATTAATTGATTATATTATCTTTTAAGTTTAATTACAGAAGAATTATTTTAGAAGAGTGAATCCATACTGGTAAGTTATATTTTGAAAGATGTTTTAATTAATCAATATAGTTTAGGAAATAAATTATTATTAACTTACTTTGCAGCAATTGCGCAAGTAGTAGTAAATTGTTTTCGCACTAAATGAATTTAAGATGATACAACATTATATATATATAATGGTATTCATTTAATGATATTTTGATCGAATACATTTCTCTTTTTAATAATTCGCTAATGAAAGCTGATTGGGTTTCGTTTAATTTGCGCGAGTTTATTACTTTCGTAACTACAAGCATTGTATGAAAATTGTTTCTATGCAAATATCACTACTATTTATCCTTGAACAATAGCATAATTTCTTTACTTGCTTTCTATAAAGGAGCGGTATTTGGTCTAAATTCATTCTTTTTACTTTACTTCAGTGGTTAAAATGGCTAAAGTAATTGATATCTAATTCCTTACGCGTATTCGTGAAAGTTAAAAAACGCACTTTTTTAAATACGTTTTATAATAGGATACTTTTCTATAAGAGTTTCATTAAAACTGCTAATTCGCCCAAAAAAAAAAAAAAAATACTTAGTGGCAATTAACTATAATTTCGTTAGCATAATACAGCAACACACAAAAGAAGCAAATATAGTTTGTACCTATTCTAAGGAAAATACGAAACTGCATAATAAAGCCGAGAAAAACTATACATTTTCTGAAGTTATTTTTAGCAGCATTTATGCATATTACATAAATCAAAGAAGCAGTGCTTTTATCTGAGCCACTTCATCCAGTTGAATAAATAATTTTACTTTAATGCAAATAGTTTTAGATCTGCACTTTTTTAATTTTCTATTGAATGAAAATCTTTCCTTTCATATGCAGATTACATTTAATGACTTTTCAGATTTTAAAGTTTGAATTTCTTTAAAAGTTATCATTTGAATTCATTACTAGAAGCTAAGTTGAAATTGAGCTCAAATAAAAGGAACAATATCGTCTGTTTTATATGCAGACAATCGCAATAAAATGCAAATAAATGAAGACTTAACCAGTGTAACTTAGAATTAAAATAGAAGCGATATTCTATGATTAAAATGCAAATACAAATTTATGATTTTTACAATTTAAAATCATCACACAGTCCTTTGTATCTTCATTTATTTTGGAATGCATTCTTGCGTAATCATCATTAAACACAAGAAAACGGAAATAGCATAATTACAAGTTTTTAAGGACTTACAAATTTTACTTTATTAATTTATACATCCATAGTGCTGACTGCAATGCGAGGCTTAAAAATATCACTAATGTGTGTATTGAGACATTCTTACGAAATTCCTAGCTTCCAGTGAAGGGATCATCATATCAGATCATCTGGACAAAATGTATTACAGCCTAATTTTAGGTTATTATCGTGAATATCCTGTAAATCTGTAATATCAACATATGCAACCAACAATCTTAAGCATTTTTAATGGGCAGAGATAATTCTCAAAGCCCATCAATACATGGACGGTTCGACCAAAAAGACCGTTTTATTCGACTATTAGGGCTTTTCTAATATCCATTCTTTTGTAGAAAGGATGAATATTTATGTATGTCTGACATTCAATGCCCAAATATTAATTCATTATTTGATATACAAACTGAGTTTTGCAATTAAATGTACTTAGCGTATATTCCGGTGCATCTACGCGCACTTATAAATTCAGACTACTTAAAAAAATTTTTTTTTGAAATATTCTTCGTATAACGCGCACCATTTTCTTTAAGAAGAAATTTGAAAGATACATCTGTGATGCTCTTATCTTTTGAAGTCATTCATTCTAAAATTTTTCCAAGGCATTCGAACAATGGCATACTGAAATGACAAGCGATAACGGAAACAATATATGTGTGGGGGAATGCTCGAGGAAGCAAATAATTATGTAAAGAGGGTGAGCACTATTCTATGCAGGGGTACACAAGAATGTTATTCTAGGGTTTTTGAGAAAAGAGAAACAGTTTTGGTAAGAATGCACTCCCCCCCCCTGAATGAATTCACATAACAGACGTTTTGCCTGAATGAATGAAAGCACACTAATTAATAAACTTTACGTAAAAGAAATTATCCAGCAATGAAATTTTTTAAGGTTGCAGAGACATTAGGTTTTTTCGAAGCAGGAAAGATGAAAAATGAGCAACGCCTTCGCCGGGAATCGAACCGCGGACCTCTGGAATACGCGCCCAGCGTGCAAACTACTACACTACGAAGACATGCTAAGGAGCTGGAGAAATACCTTATAAGGTGTGTCATCTCTTTTTCTTAAATAAAGAGCACTTAGGTTCATGCAGAAATCTAATTTCTTTGTGCGCTTCTTTTCCTTATTTTTAAATGTATCATTTTTTATATCCGGAATATAACGCGCACCCGTTAATTTCGATATTAAATTTTGTATTCAAAGTGCGCGTTATTCGCCGGAATATTAACTAAAATGAAGCCTTTTTTGTTGTTTTTTAATCGTCTAATTTTGTTCACAGTGTAAGAATAATATTAAGAAAATAACAAAATAATAATGAAAAACATTCTTATCTGCTTTAAGTAAGAGCAATATATTCTCATCTTTCACGTGCCTTTCTTTCAAACATCTGCAGATTAATACCTAATGTTTGGCGACAAAGTCTTACATTAGCATTAGCGAAAATGATATTCGTTAAATGTAATCAAAAAGAAAAATCACTAAATACGAGAAAAAAATTCAGCCTCTGCCACTTCCTGATAGAAGTTAAGGTGGAAGCTAGGCCTAGCCTCTGTCATTCATCTTCATTACTCCTAGACATTATTTGAGCAAGTCTCTTTTTCTTTGTTTCTGTTCTTATTCCGACTACTTGCTTTTCTTCTTTTATTTCTTAGAGCAAGATGCGTAAGAGTAAAGTGTGGTTATAATGTCTGTGTATTTTTTGCTTTTATGCGGTCATTATGAGACGAGTTTTTCTCCTTTTTTATCTCTGTTCTTAAGAATCGGCTGTGCTTCATTGTTAGATCTAGTGAAATTGCTACATTTTCATTTACCAGAGAGTTAGAACTCCGGCGATCAATTCTAGTATAGCGAGGCAGCTAATGTCTTAGAGGGCGGTCAAAGTGTGATATTTATAGCTCCCATTTTTAGGACTATAAACTAGTTGCATAATATCCTAGAGAAAGCATATATTTATTATATTTAAGAGAATACATACGGTATTTTGAACCTTATTCACGAGCATTCAAGTTGAAACTGCTTTTAGATACCTCTACATGGAAAATTTTGTAAGACGGTATATATCTGAATTA